TGGCTGCATGAATGTTGCATGGGCTTTGTTTTGCGGAGGAAGCCGGAGCACGAAACCTGGCATTTTTCCGTGTAAAGTGGCTTCAGCCGGCGATGAAAAGTACATCGCGTGTGCGGCGGTTGCGGTTTGGATCGTTTCGAGGTCAATCGGTTCCTCCTCTGTGTTCTGCAACGAGTGGTTGTTCCTGTGTGCGTATTTCTATGCGTTTCTTGAATCTGTGGTTGCAGATCGCATTGGAATGGCTGCATGATTGTTGCCATCTGGTGTTGCCATGTGCGTCGATGCATTAACGGTTAGCCACGTCATGCTGCAAAATGCATTGTGATGGCTGCGTCAAAGTTGCTTGGTGCCGTCGCGGCTGCATGCGTAATACTATATTATTATTGTCTTTTGCAGCTGGGCATTGTACATCGTATTGGAGTGGCTGCATCAAGGCTGCGACAGTGATTTGTCCTCTGTCAGCAGATTTTGTCCATTTTGGCGCTAGTGATTTTCCTTTTAAAATTCCTTTTGAAAAGTGCTTCAAAATCGTCTTTTTTCGCTTTGGCGTCGAGATCCGGTTTTGGAGGTGCAATTTCCGACGCCGTTGCGCGCAGTTCTAATGTGTTTTGCAATTCAGTCTCTGCAGATCGCACTGCAATGGCTGCGTTAAGGTTGCTTGGTCAAGGTAGTACTGGGAAGTAGTTTGTGCAAGCTTTGTAGTACACAGTTGTACTGGGAAGTGCTTTGTGCAAGCTTTGTTTGCAGTACAAAGTAGTACTGGGAAGTGCTTTGTGCAAGCTTTGTAGTACAAAGTAGTACTGGAACGTGTTTTGTGCAAGCGTTGTAGTACAAAGTATTACTGGGAAGTAGTTTGTGCAAGCTTTGTAGTAAGCTTTGAAGTACAAAGTAATACGGGGAAGTGCTTTGTGCAAGCTGTGTGGTACAAAGTAGTACGGGGAAGTGCTTTGTGCAAGCTTTGTAGTACAAAGTAATACTGGGAAGTGCTTTGTGCAAGCTTTGCAGTACAAAGCAGTACTGGGAAGTGTTTTGTGCAAGCTTTGTAGTACAAAGTAGTGCTGGAACGTGTTTTGTGCAAGCTTTGTAGTACAAAGTAGTACTGGGAACTGCTTTGTGCAAGCTTTGCAGTACAAAGTAGTACTGGGAAGTGTTTGCGCAAGCTTTGTAGTACAAAGTAGTACTGGAAGTGCTTTGTGCAAGCTTTGTAGTTCAAAGTAGTACTGGGAAGTGTTTTGTGCAAGCTTTGTAGTACAAAGTAGCACTGGGAAGTGAAGTGTGCAAGCTTTGTGGTACAAAGTAGTACTGGGAAGTGCTTTGTGCAAGCTTTGTAGTACAAAGTAGTACTGGGGAGTAACGGGTAGTTTGTGCAAGCTTCTGTAATAGACATCAGTACTGGGAAGTGGTTTGTGCAAGCTTTGTAGTACAAAGTAGTGCTGGAACGTGTTTTGTGCAAGATTTGCAGTACAAAGCAGTACTGGGAAGTGTTTTGTGCAAGCTTTGTAGTACAAAGTAGTGCTGGAACGTGTTTTGTGCAAG